GTTATGGACCCACCTGAGGACTGGGACCAGGGTTATGGACCCACCTGAGGACTGGGACCAGGGTTATGGACCCACCTGAGGACTGGGACCAGGGTTATGGACCCACCTGAGGACTGGGACCAGGGTTATGGACCCACCTGAGGACTGGGACCAGAGGTCTGGACCCACCTGAGGACTGGGACCAGAGGTCTGGACCCACCTGAGGACTGGGATCAGAGGTCTGGACCCACCTGAGGACTGGGATCAGAGGTCTGGACCCACCTGAGGACTAGAACCAGGGTTATGGACCCACCTGAGGACTAGAACCAGGGTTATGGACCCAACTGAGGACTGGGACCAGAGGTCTGGACCCACCTGAAGACTAGAACCAGGGTTATGGACCCACCTGAGGACCGGGACCAGAGGTCCGAAGGTCTCCTCCTGGGTACACAGCATGTCTGTGGTGACGTCAGCCAGCAGGGTGGGCTCCATGAAGGACCCGTTCAGACGGGCTCCTCCCCTCAGCACCCGGGCCCCGTGGGACACGGCGTCTGAGATCTGATGGACCACCTGAGGGGCGGGAACAGAACCCAGCTGAGGATTGAAAGACTCTGGGAACCGGGCCTGGACCAGACTCTGATTCTGGTTTACCTTCTCTGCAGCTCTGGAGTTGATGAGCGGACCCTGGGTGGTCCCAGGCTCTGAGCCGTGACCCAGGTGGAGCTGAGAGTCCATGGCCCGGCCCAGCTTGTCCAGGAAGCGGTCGTAGACCCGGCTCTGGACCAGGAACCTGTTGGAGCACACGCAGGTCTGCAGGACAACACAGAACCTTCAGTCTGGACCTGTGGGTCTGAGGAGAACCCAGCCGGTCCGGTCTCACCTGTCCAGAGTTCCTGAACTTGGAGACCATGGCTCCGCCCACTGCCAGGTCCACGTCAGCGCTGTCGAACACGATGAAGGGGGCGTTGCCACCCAGCTCCATGGAGACCCTCTTCACCGAGTCAGCGGCCATTTTTAATAACACCTGAGGAGACAGAACCAGAACCTGAACCAGTCAGCAGGTCCCAGCAGGACCAGGACCAGGACCAGGACCCCTCACCTTTCCTGTAGCTGTAGATCCGGTGAAGGATACCTTGGCCACCATGGGGTCCGAGCAAAGAACCTGTCCCACAGACGGGGCCCGGTCTCTGGAGCAGGGGACCACGTTGACCACGCCCGGGGGGATCCCCGCCTGCTCCGCCAGCTGCAGACAGGAAGTGGATCAGAACCATTAGAGGGTGGATGTGAGGGTCCGGTGGAGCGGGTCTGAACAGGATCCTGACCTCAGCCAGAGCCAGAGCGGACAGAGGCGTGTCCTCTGCGGGCTTCACCACCACCGTGCAGCCGGCCGCCAGCGCCGCCCCCACCTTCCTGCTGATCATGGCGCTGGGGAAGTTCCACTAGAGACAGAACCACACCGGGTCAGAACCACACAGGACGGGTGGATCAGGTCAGGTCCAGGAGAGAAACCAGACCTGAGTCCAGAACCGTCATATCTAAAGCTCCGACCGTGTTCTGCTCTCCTCACCGGTGTGATGATGGAGGCCACGCCCACCGGCTGCTTGAGGAGGAGGAGCTTCCTGTCCTTGAAGGAAGACGGGACGATGTCCCCATAGATCCTCCGGGCCTCCTCTGAGAACCAGTCCAGGAAGGAGGCCGAGTACGCCACCTCCCCCCGGGCCTCCTGCAGGGGCTTACCCTGAAATACAGAACCAGAACCACAGGGTAGTACTCCTACAGCTGAGTGTCCTACAGAGGAGACTCCTACAGCTGAGTGTCCTACAGAGGAACCTCCTACAGCTGAGTGTCCTACAGAGGAGACTCCTACAGCTGAGTGTCCTACAGAGGAACCTCCTACAGCTGAGTGTCCTACAGAGGAGCCTCCTACATGAGAGCTTCCTACAGAGGAGCCTCCTACAGCTGAGTGTCCTACAGAGGAGACTCCTACAGCTGAGTGCTTCCTACAGAGGAGCCTCCTACAGCTGAGTGTCCTACAGAGGAGACTCCTACAGCTGAGTGCTTCCTACAGAGGAGCCTCCTACAGCTGAGTGTCCTACAGAGGAGACTCCTACAGCTGAGTGCT